TGAAGAACATGGCTCTTCATCTCCATTCGGTAGTGAGGTAATGTGTCCTTACAGTCAGGTAGCTCTGTGTCTGAAGAACATGGCTCTTCATCTCCATTCGTCAGTGAGGTAATGTGTCCTTACAGTCAGGTAGCTTTGTGTCAGAAGAACATGGCTCTTCATCTCCATTCGGTAGTGAGGTAATGTGTCCTTACAGTCAGGTAGCTTTGTGTCAGAAGAACATGGCTCTTCATCTCCATTCGGTAGTGAGGTAATGTGTCGTTACAGTCAGGTAGCTTTGTGTCAGAAGAACATGGCTCTTCATCTCCATTTGGTAGTGAGGTAATGTGTCCTTAAAGTCAGGTAGCTTTGTGTCAGAAGAACATGGCTCTTCATCTCCATTCGGTAGTAAGGTAATGTGTCGTTACTGTCAGGTATCTTTGTGCCTGAAGAACATGGCTCTTCATCTCCATTCGGTAGTGAGGTAATGTGTCGTTACTGTCAGGTATCTTTGTGTCTGAAGAACATGACTCTTCATCTCCATTCGGTAGTGAGGTAATGTGTCGTTACAGTCAGGTAGCTTTGTGTCTGAAGAACATTGCTCTTCATCTCCATTCAGTATTGAGGCAGTATTGAGGGGTGACCATGGCTCACTGGGTTAAGAGGGTTGTCTGGTAACCGCCAAGGTTCTACACTTCGACTGGGACGTGTCACATGTCGAAGTGTCCCTGAGCAATACACTGAACCCCAGGCTCCCCGGGCATCTGTCATTGGCAGCCCACTGCTCCCTATATACAGGGATGGGTCAAATACAGAGACAAATTACCCCCTTAACGGGGTCAATATAGTATGATAAATTAAATAAAAAATGAATGTGTCCGTACAGTCATTTGATTCTCTGTTTGGATTTTTGTTTTCTTTAACAAAGCAGGAATTATGGTCTGGAGAAATGTAGTGTCACGGGGCTCAATAGCATTAAGCATGTCGTACAGCCTGGTTTTCCACTCCAGAGTAGGTCTCATATCCACAGCTATAAATATAACAATCGCCGCTGTGATTGCTTTAGCCCTGTTTGAATCAGTAGGGAGTAGCTTTACGCTGCGGGCAGAGTTTGTAGCGCGTGTGCTGCTGTAGGTTATTCTGCTAAGCTAGTTTAGCGTAGTTTGCCTCCTAGAACAAACGTGGCTCACCAGAGTAGAATGTTTTTCTTCCGTGGTGTCAGACAGCAAGTTGTCTGTTACGTCGGGTGGGTTGACTTGTTGAGCGCATTATATTTCCCACAATTTAAGCTTCTGCATTTTCCAAATGCAATAGTATTATTCAAACGTATTGTTCGGTTCGTAATGCGTTCTGAACCGTGAGCCTCGTACCGAATGGTTCAATACGAATATGTGTATTGTTACACCCCTAGAAACCATGTTTTTAGGATCATCAAAATGGAACGATAGCTAATTCTATTTGTTCATTTATGTCTTTTTCTCTGAATTACCTCAATTCCCTTCACTCCTCCTCACCCTCTTGCTTCCCTGAATGTTCCCCATGTACTCCCCTCTAAATCTCCCTGACCCCACCTTCCATCCCAGAGGTGGTATTGCGTAACAGTTCAAAGGTCATGTTTAGTGGACCTCACTCTCACCCTCAGACTCCTCGACCCCTTTCTTCTCTCCTCCATCATCAGATGTCACTGAACATATTTCTGTGCATTTAACTTTTTTAAATTTGATTTCAAAATGTACCTCTCCGTCTGTCTGCTCGCCAATAACACACGCCTCTCTCATTTACCCATGTTCCCCCTCTCTGCCTGCTGCTGCTCCTCCACTCAATCTGTCTCATATTAAAATGATTCTCTCCTTGCAGTGACGGTGGAGGTGATGGAGAACAGCTCCACAGAGTTCCAGGGTTTCCTGTTACAGGCCAGAAGCAGGAAGGGACTCGGTAAGAAAAGAGCTCAAGAAACTAACTTCTTTAGAGGAACATAGAAGAGAATGTCTGTCATTTAGAGGAAATATGTACTGTCAACAATCAGATGAGCAGTGATGTAGTGTTAGCATGTGGATACTGTCAACACTAGAGACGTGGTTGCCATGGTTACCAGGTTAAGGCTTCAAGTCCCTGTTGGTGTCATTCCTGGAGGAGGAGTTATTGTGTCCTGAATGCCTGAAACTGCTTTGGGTGTCTTTGGTTTATAATATTCATCACTACTTCGCTCTTGAATGTTTGTAACAGGAAACGATTCTTTAGTTGGCTCCTGTCATCAAGAAATGAGATTTATCTTTACATGTACAGTGTTTTATAGAGTTACAACAACTGAAACTAGTTTGCATTGTGGAATAAAGGCTCAGACACATCACCAGGGGAACAGCACCAGAGTGGAACGATCTTTTTGTTTCCTTCTTGCAGCTCTGCTCTGGCCTGTGGGGAAGTTCACTAACATCAGCACCACCCTGTTTACTGCATTGCACTGTAACAACATGGAGGTATGTGTGAATATGTATTATTATCTACCAAAAACATTTCTTCTCAACTGTCTTTCCTTTCTTTTGAATAGCTTACTATGTTGTTTGGTATCAATGGAGAAGAACATTGGATAATAGTAAATAGGTGGGCTTGTATTTTAATCTTTGTGAGGACTATGAAGGCAAATCACTGTCAAAATCCGAGAGCGCAAATAAGATCCATGCGCGCGCGAAAACCAAACAGCCGCGCGCGTATTTTACTTTGATGAGCGCTTTTACATCACTCCGCGAGCAGAATTCACTCTCGCACGAGCAAAAGTCGCTCGCGAAGCTTAAACCCGCTCGCTCGAGAGTCTTTTTCCTGCTCGCTCACGAGTAGTTTTTCTCTTTGACAGTAAGTGGGCGGACCCAGTCGCCATTGTATCTCTACATCTAATTGGTTGCAATCCTCGTCTTTGGATAAACCGGATATCACTCTGACACAGACGCTAGTTCTGATAGAGGTGGTTTTCAATCGGCCACTGTCAACTTTTCAGACTGTAGAGGCTGATGAAATACAAATTATGTTAATAGCGTTGTTAAATACAATAATTAAAAATGTGTTAAAGTCAAGTTGCTCAGATTGGTTTAAATTCACTCCATCATTCTATTACAGACAATGTGTGTTTGATACTCAAACCTCTTGTGACAAACAGCTCAAAGAAACTCTTTGATCTTAATTGATTAAAACATGTGATCATATTTATTCATACTGTTGTGTTTACAGAAGAGATATAATATAGTTGTATATAATATGCGCAACAATTTGGACCTGCTCAAAGGACCACTGTTTGTATATTAACTGTTAAATCACTGACAAGTAATTAGTAGATGAAAAAGTATTCAGATCCTTCACTGCAGTAAACGTACTAACACCATACTGATGAAACAATAATCCACTACGAGTAAAATACCTGCATTCAAAACCTCAGTCAATGTATCAGCAAAATCTACTTTAAGTGCAGAAAGTAAAAGTACCCGTACAGTAAAATGTACATTATTTGCCCCTGACCTGTAGTGCAATCTGAAAATCTCCCCCGAGCGTCTGAGTCAGAGTGATATCCGGTTTATCCAAAGACGAGGATTGTAACCAATTAGATGTAGAGATACAATGGAGACTGGGCCCGCCCACTTACTGTCAAAAAGAAAAACTACTCGCGAGCGCGCAGGTAAAAGACTCGCGAGCGCGCAGGTTTAAGCTTCGCGAGCGAGCAGGTTTAAGCTTCGTGAGCGACTTGCTCGCGCGAGAGTGAATTCTGATGCGCGGCTGTTTTATTTTCACGCGCGCATGGATCTCATTTGCGCTCTCGGATTTTGACAGTGATTTGCCTTCATAGCGGACCTGTGTGTGTGTGTGTGTGTGTATTCTTTATGCAGAACTCAACTGTCAGTCAGGCATCAGGAGTCAAGAAGAAGAAAGTGCAGCTGACGTGGGAGGCGCCTAGCAACAGTAGCTATGGAGACATCTACTTCAGGTGGACAACGTTGCACTCACACACGCCTCCTTGCTGACTGCACTATTGTCTCAACCCAAAGGCCAAACTTCTGAAAGCAAGCGTCTGAAACCTTCATGAAGCTAATCATGACTGTGGCCGTCTGGTGGTCATTAGTGGTACTGCAACCTGAAGCGCTTGCATTGACTTCACATCCGTCACAGCAGAAATGATCCGAATCACCGGACCATGTCTGACTCTGAAGCACTTGTTGACCTCCCATACTATTCATTCATTAACCTAATGTTGTTGACATGGCAGTGCCACTCTGGTCCAGGACTACACGACATTCTGGGTCCAGCTGAACACCAGCACTCTGAGACTGGACAGCAACTCTGCAGCTGGAGTGAGTATGACTGACAGTAGTATTTATTCACCCATGTGCTGTAGCAGCTGACTGACTGACATTGTCTCTGCTTCATGTCAAACTCTGCTGATGGAACTGCACTGGGATGCTGACATGTCTCTCTCTCTCTCTCAGTCTAGGTCTTTTCCTCCTCAGCTCTGCTCTTCATCAATCTGCTGAGTCTGTCTGCCTACTGCTGAGACTGAGACACACACACAGACACACACACACACACCAGTGATTGTATAATATGAATAGAAGTGATTGTTATGAATGTGCAATGTGTGATTCCTGGCCAGCTGCTCTAAAGAATTAGGGATCAAATCTAAATTCAGTCATCAGTTCAAAAGTGGACATAAAGCTGCTGTTATAATCTTCATAATAATATAATAATCTGTGCCGCGCCACTGACCAGTGCTGGAAGTCACCGCGGGCTGGTGAAGCGCTGGGTCTCACCTGTGTATCGGCAGCAACAGAACATGTGCTGATCCGGTTGGGAGTCTGGGCGGTCTCCATTAAAAATACGTCTCCTGCAGCTGCATCGTGCTCTACTCCCGGCAACGGAGAGGACGAGGCGATGGTGTGAGGTGTGTTTATCTAATGCACCATGTTTGTTTCTTGGATTAAATCCTACCTCTCATGTTGGACCGAGGACAGACTGGGTGCTACAGTGACTCACTATCGCCTCTACAGGTACTCGTGATTTATTTTCTGGCCAGATGTTACACATTGCGTCTTCAAACATTGGACAAGGAGAGGCACCAGACAAACAGATGACAGCTCCTCCTACAGTCCGATCACATGACACTAAGTCAGAATAAAGCTGGAGTTGCCTTGAAGCATCAGGTTCTGTACTAATATTATTAAGTGTGACCAACATCACTATGATTGTCTTGTGATATAGCTCAAAATAAATCCACGGGCCAAATTAATCAAACTTTCATGAAACAAATAAAGTATTTTCTTAGAAATGAAATATGTGCGATTGTTAAATACAGTTCAGTTGGCGTCATCTTGTTGTGCGTTGCCTCTGTTCATGGCTAACAGAGGAGCTACTGTAGTTACTCTCCATAGTCATGTTGGTGTGGTCACTCTGCAGACTTTAAACATCTTGAACCAGTTCAATAATCCCACTGCTTTGTGTTCAGTGTGCAGTATGTTGGGTTTAAAGCTCAGTTTTAGAAGCTGTAGTTTTGTGTTAGTCTGAACTTATTATGGCCCTTTAACATGTAGTCAGTCGTGGTGATAGCTTTGTATCGATCCACAATTACCTTTTGACTCGTGTCCATAATGTGATTTTGTATCAATTGTAATTAAAGTTGTCTCCATATCTCACCAGTGAAGATGCTCATTGTTGATATGAACATTAACGTGTTACTTGTAGATATGTGTGACTGCATCACAACCTTTACTATTGACTTCTTGTCTAATTAAATTACACTATTACTTACCAAGATATAGATTTAGCCCAATTTGGTGTTGCAGAGGAAAATCCTAACAAACTTTATGAATCATATCTTATGTTGCGTCATCCTATTTTATCCTAACCAATATCACCATGGTTACCAGCAAGTATTACAGTCCCACATTCCTCTAACATGTTGTAATTACACGTCAACAGTTCAATCATTAGTGACGACGTTCACTGTAGAAATCTACAGTTGTTCTTACGTTACAGATACAAACAGCACTGACCGATGACAGAAACAGAAATGTGATCATGACAAGGACAGAATCTTAACTAATAAACTTCTTCCAAAAGCTGCAGTCAGGACCCCGAGGTCACCGAGTGCCTGGATGGACTCACAGTAGATGAGACAGGTACTGGTCTAGACCTGAGCCGGTTCTACCAGCACCTACACTCCTCAGGAGCTCAGAGACAGAGCTGTGATGCAGAACAGCATGCACCTTCATTGATTTATTATAGTTAACATATGTTTAATAATAGGACGAGTGCTTCCACATGTGAGCTTCGGACCCTCTGGTGACCTCTCAAATACTATGATTCCTGATAAGATCCACATCTGATTAAGTTAGTCAATTTATACTACTTAGATACTCCTGAGAGGAGGAAACAGTTTATTCAGCATTGCTTTGTTATAGCAGCTGTACCACTACGCACACAGAGAAGACAACGTCACAGAGCACAGACACACATGCACGTCACAGAGGAAGGGCGTGTACATGCTTTATCCAGTAGATCCTTTCATACGCTTTAATAAGACTAACATACAGTTTCAATTCACAGCGCTTTGTGCTGCTCTACATGCATGGACGGTATTATTGGAGACGTGACATTGCTGTTAAATCAGCCATCAAGACACATGCTGGTTCTCCATCGGCCCTGCTGGCCAACAACATAAGTAGAACCCTAAGTGATGACAGCTGCTCTGTATTGTAATTATGTTGAATACCTGTTTAATGAGTGCTATCGCTTGGTTTAGACCAGTGATCTTACACTTCAACAGAGAAACAGGAGCTCAGCTTCAGTAGGACATGTTAGTCAATGCTTTAGTGACTTTGCCCAGAGTGAGGACTTCAGGTGTTGTGAGTCCATTGAGGCTGGAGAGGAGATGCTCTGCTGTTCTACAACACCAGGGTTAGAGCAGTGACACTGGACTAACATATCCAAGAGTTACATACACACAGTGACCTCTCTTAGAGGAACAGCTGCTCACTATATCCCTCATTTGAGAGAAACGCTGATGTGTCATTAACGTCTACAGCTCTAAAACATCTACAGCATGCTTGGACAGGAAACTGCTCTACAAACACAGACATTGCACAACATTAATACACACTTGAATTATATATTATTTAACAACATCATAAGGCTTGAAGGGAAAATGGGTAACAGCTGTGTAGGGTATTTATTGTGTATAGAGGCACCAGGTGGAGGCTTCAGGATGCTTTAGAGAGGATCCTCCTCTGTTGCTCTCACTCAGGTCTCTTCCTCTTTTCTCCCTGTTAAAGGGTTTTTTGGGGAGTTCTTCCTGTTCTGATGTGAGGCTCCTGGGACAGAGGATGTCAGATGTGTACAGATTGTTCAGCCCTCTGAGGAGAACTTGTAATTTGTGATTTTGGGCTACAGAAATAAATTGAATTGAATTTATGGAACAGAGCATTCAAACAGCTGACAGAATTGGTACACTGGTGCTCCAGCTTGTGACTGTATAATGAAACATGTTCCATGAGGACAGGTTGGGCTGTACGAGGCACAGCGACATGTTATGGACATGTTTTCATGCCAATTTCAGCACCTGCCAGTTTGGGTTAGACTACTGGCTAAGGGTCAAACTGCTTCAGTGTATAATGAGTGACATCATCACATGTGGCAGCATGGTCAGTGGCTCTTGGTAAGGGGTTTGGGTTAGAATAAGTATTTTTGTTATATAGTGAAGAAGGCTACGTTACGTATGTGACGTATTTGTAGAATAAAATAATACGTCAACAGTGGTCTCCTGAGTGAGAGTCCTGTGTTTACACTGCATCACCTAGTTTCCTCCTTGACTCCCACCATAACTACGGACACAGAGCGTCACAGTTTCAAGTGGAGGGCCACTGACCAAGCTGCCGTATTTGACAACAAGCTGGATATTCAGAACTGATCACCACAGATGTCTGGGGTCATTCTAAATATTACTGAACATTTGTTCTTTCAGAGTTTTGGATATGACAATCATCACATGCTGAGAGGTTTGAAAAACATCTCCCAATGTCCACTTCATGGACAGACGGATTGTTTGTTCCGAGCTTTCGGTGCGTTTGATTAAATATAAGTTTGTAATTACTTCTAACACACAGTTGCATTATGCATTGGATGTGTTGTAACTCCGTTATGTTGTTAATTCTGTATGCATGACACCTAGCACACTTCTGTCCATCCTGATAGAGGATCCTCCTCTGTTGCGCTCCCTCAGGTCTCCTCCTCTTTTCTCCCCGTTAAAGGTTTATTTGGGGAGTTCTTCCTGTTCTGATGTGAGGCTCCTGGGACAGAGGATGTCAGATGTGTACAGATTGTTCAGCCCTCTGAGGAGAACTTGTAATGTGATTTTGGGCTATACTAAATTAATTGAATTGAAAGTATAAAGTCTGACTGGTAAATGCAGATTTGAAGACAAACTGTCCCGTCGTACAAAGATGGACATCCTCAGCCACGTGCTTTGTTCTCCACCTAAAAGCTTTGTAGATTGTTCAGGTCAGGAATATGGAAAGTATTGTTGATACAGTACACTTTAGTTTACCAGCAGTGAAGATTGAAGAACACAATCACACATCAGCTCAGGAGTTGCTACAAGTTTTAAATGATGGCTCAGCCTGGAAGTATGCTGCACGTATGTCATCATGGAGAGAGTAAAGATGAGGTTTCTATATCAGCTAGAACAGCTCATCAGTCCAGGGGATTAACTTGCTTTAAGGGTGCTGAATTCCAAATCCAGAGCATATCTATGACTGAGGGTTTGCCTCCACGCAGCTCTCAACATAGCAGCGTAGCTTATGGTTGCCGTAGTGAAGCGGAGTGCGTGCACCAGAAGATGCACGTCGAGTGGTGGTGGCTGATGCTCGTGCATCTGTGAATGTTTGTAACTTGGTGGGCACGATCAGAGACGTGACTCACAAATCGTCCCCAGATAAAAGCACGATTCACAAGTGTAAGGACAACACACACAAGGCCAGTTTGTTTGAGACGCTATAGAAACAGGAGGTTACATCACACACCTCATCCTCTGCTCAGGTACACATCACTCCTTCTTTACATCGCTAATAGCCATTTGCTGATCTGAATTTGGAATTTAGCAGCGTGAATTTGCAGACATTCCCAAAGGTACAAACACAGGGAGCGGTGAGCTGGCAGAGCTGTTTATTGTGAATGAGGATAGTTGGAGGCCGGCAGTGCACAGGGCAACATTCAGATGAATGCACTGTGAGCCGGAGGGAGGACTGAGGTGCAGTGATCACACCTCCGGTTCTGTCAAATATCTATTGTGAATACGTGTAGTTTGAAGCCTGTGAATCACTATCAACCACAACAACAGTGAAGTGCATCTGAGCATTGACAGCTCAGTGGTTCTGTGTGGTTCTACTCAGAGCTAGCTATGTGTTAATGACCTCCAATGAGTTCTGCTTCAGGGAGTAAGACTGCATCACATCAGGGGGTCTAGAGGTCATAGAGGATCTCCAGAACCGTGGCCAGGGACCAGGCCTGGGTCTCACAGCTGAACGAGCAGTACTGGCCGTTCTCATTGGTCAGCTCTGGCAGACCCTTCCATGGAGACCTAAGAAGGCACAACACACCAAGAGTGAAAAGGCATTTTTCCATTTATTGATGTTGTCATGTGAAACCAAGCAGAGCAGAAGCAGTCCTACCTCTCCAGGTGGGTGTAATGTCGTGACAGGACGTTCTTCACCAGCGTGGCTGTTCTAGCGTAGGTTTCTTCTCCCAGCTTCTTGGCAAAGTAGAGCTTAGCACGCAGGAAGTAGCCTACCGGCCACAGCCACTCCTACACACACACAACAGTATGTTATGAGCAGCGGGAAGAGTTGAGATATTCTAATGGTGCTGCACCAACATTAAAGGAAACATCCTGTCAACACCATCTCAGTCACATCTTCATCTACATGTCAGGAACACCCACGTTTAAACGCTCACTTCCATATCTTTCAACCTGGATCCTATTTTCTTTGTTTAAGTGACTTTTGGGGACAGTATTGAGAGAGAACGCTGCAGATTACAATGTAATGTTTGAGTGCAGCCAATGTACGTCATCTAAAAGTGCTATTAAGGAAGGTAAAGAAAAACAGTTCTTTATAGTAATCTGAGCCTTTAAGTGACAGAAACAAACCCTTTAGCAGCTGCCGGTTACATGTTATCCCTCAACACTGGACCAACTTTAAGAATCCCCTATTAGTCACAACTAGGATTACTGCCTCGCTGTGTATGCCTCCAACAAGCAGTCATGTTGCAGTTTACATCCATGTCTGTCCAAAATGTCAGAACCAGGGTCCAGTAGGACGGGTGTTGAATCACAGAAATATGAACAAATAGATCTGCACACCAAATAGCTCCCATTTATGGATTTAACTGCTGTAACATTTGGAGCAGCAGGCTCATCCTCCTGTCCAAAATGTCATCACTTCATCGTTTCATCCCAGAAAACATCTTTGTAAAATTGTCCTAACTAGCATATCAGTTCTTCAGTTATGATTGTGAGGTCACAGTGACCTTTGAACTCCAAAATCGAATCAGTTCATCCGTGAGTCCAGATGGACATCTGTGGCGGTTTGAAGAGAATACCTCCAGGCGTTCCTGAGGTATCGCATTCATGAGAATGGAGCGGACGGACGCACGGACAACCCGACACCCAAACACATGGTGTTTTAATAATACATTTGTAGCATGACATTTTTGAACAGCTGACTATAAACTATAGTTCAAGTTGAAGATGTATGGCTATTTGTGAAACAGAGTTTACTTCAGCTACCTGATCCTGGTCGTCTAGAACAAAGACAAACTCTTCTTATGATTGCTCTGTTATTCAGGGTGTGTCTCACTCACTGGTCCTTGGTGGTAGTTGAAGCCTTTTGCCAGGTTGTAGTTGTCGTTGTCCAGAGCGTTGTCATAGACACCACAGTACACCATGTCACTAGGACAACACAAACACGATATCAGTATGAGACGGGATATAGAAACAGAAGAACTACTAATCCTCCCGTAAACTTGTCATTAAGCATTCCTTTAAGCTGTTTTTACATTTACAAGCAGGAATGAATGCAGTCGTTCTACCACGTCGTTCAAAAGAATTCTTGACAGTATGAAGATATGTATATTACTCAGGGTCAAGTGTCTTCATTCCCAGCGGTCCCAGGAGTTTCTCCTCAGCCACCTCGAGAGCCTCCCAGGCTCTTTCCACTGTGAACAGCTCTGGAGACTTTAAAAACAGAGATGGTGTGAACCGGCCAATCGTCTCTACGTGATCTAGTCACTCAACAGACCTGTTAGCCAACTAGAAAAGTGCCTTCAGTAGAGGTCCTTCAGTCATTAATGTGCACAAAAAATATTAGGCTGAAGGTTCCGAATAGTGTGCGAGATTAGACCGTGGACAGACAGACAGATGCACGTAAGAGACACACACATGCAACCACACGCATGATCTCCCCACAGGCTTATGCCTGATGCCCATAAATAAAGTTACAGATTATTCAGGTGTCAGCATGTCTCCTTACCACCACCATGGCAATAGTGAAGTTGGGTCTCAGCTGGTAGTCACACCAGGGGCTGGAGGCTCCATAGCTGTCCTTATAGATGCCTTTTTTGTGCACCAGGTCAGGATGCTTTTCATTGGGATCATGTGGGTTGCCAGACACCCAGTAACCTGGCTCAAAGGACTGCTGGAGCTGCTGGTTCCACTGGGAGTACGAGATTAACACTTTTTTACCTGGAACACAATGGAAAGTGTTCATTACACATCAGTGCTGTAATTCAGAATGAGTGAAGGAGACCTTTCTGTATCTGAAAATAAAGGTAAATAGTAAAAATGGTAAATGACGTGCAAGCATGCATGCGCACAAATAAACATGTTTACGGACTGGTAAACAAATGTTTCACATTTCCCCGCTTCCCGGCTTGAAATTTGTATTCAACTAGCGCTGTTGCGTCACCCAGGACCGCCACAGCTCCACTGAAGATCCACCTCTTTGCCCATTTTTAGGGTTAGGCAGTGTCGTCGCTGCCAAGATGGCGACGGCCGGAGCTTCACAAGGCTCTTAACAAACAAGACTACGTTCGTATCTCATACAGTCTGTGATCTTGCCAAAGAACACTTCTACATGCAGACTGGAGAAGTCGCTCTACCTCCTGAGCCACAGCTGCCCATTGAGTCAGAGAGTGTGTGTGTGTGTGTGTGTGTGTGTGTGTGTCATACCATCTCGGTGTACTTTGGCTCCATCGTAAGGGAACAGTCCTTTGGCATGTAGCTCCACAACCCAGCGAACAGCTGACTTACTGAGACCAACTATTTCCACTGCGGCTCCATCTCTGGACACAAAAGGTGACAGACAACAAATTATATTCAATTATTTTCCTGATTAATATAACATTAAAAAAACATCATAAAACAGTGAAAAACAAACGTACTCGATGACGTAGAACTGAGGAAAACATTCTAACAGAAAATGGCTGTGTGTGATCAGTGTGTGTATTACCTTGGAGTTGCAGGCATGCCTTTGTTCTTCGCTTTGTCACTCTCTCCCATTTTGTCCATCCATGTGCCACAGTTAAATCGGTTTCCTCCCGTCACGAAACCTGTGGCTGGATCCACTTTAGCAAACACGTTGAACCCTGGAAAGAAAGGCAGGAGCTCCGCAATACTGTAGTTGGTGTTGAAGGACAGTTAGAAAAGCTGCTGGTGTTAACTTTCCCCTGTGGCATTGGGCTCTGTGCATTATCGCTTCCAACTGGAATAGAGTGTGGATTGGGAAAAGTGCATTCATGGGATACTAGACTGATGCTGAGCCTAAATTGTAGTAAGAATGGAAGCACAAGAGTGTTTGTTCAAATGTTATAGGTCTGCAGACACGGAGGGTATCATACACACTGTCCTACCTTCATCTCTCATGTGCATGTCTATTTTGGGTCCAGCATTTCTCTCTCTGTAGGAAATTCCCTCTAGGTGGCGCTGCAGAGCCTCCTGGATCACATCATACAGAGGCTGCTCCTGCAACACACACATGAATATATACCGTGTATCTATATGTGTGTGTGTGTGTGTGTGTGTGTGTGTGTGTGTGTGTGTGTGTGTGTGTGTGAGTGTGAGTGTGAGTGAGAGAGAGAGAGAGAGAGAGTGTAATGTTCTACATACCACCTCTCCAGGTGTCATAGGCTCACAGTCATCAGTAGGGTACATGCGTGTGACAGGACAGTGAAGGATTTCATGGCCTTGAGGAACGTGGGTCGCATAGTCCTGAGAAAAAGCAAACAGTTAGAATAACTAAGCAACAAAGTACAACATGATATTAGCTCATATATCTATGCAAAAATGCATAACTTTCCATAACCGTTTATTTGAATTATTAGGTTAATGAACACAGCCACACTCCTACTCTAACTTATTTTAGGGTAGAGTTGGGTTAAATGTATCGACGCTCCTTTAAATTGATCTTGACATGAATTTCTAAATGACAGTGTCCTCATACCTGGACGCACTGCAGCCACCACCACACAGCATCGCGACAGTTGTATCTTGCACAGCGACCCTCACCCAGCAGGTTGGGGATCAAACCGTGACGCAACGTTCCCGCAAAGGCCAGGATGATGTTACTACGGAGACCAGAGGACAGAATGGTTCATGGTAGTGTTTAGTTACAGAAGGGCAGGCCGCCAGAGCAGCTTTAAATAAAACACAAACGTAAATGTAGTCTCCCAGAGAGTACACACACATGCATACTGTACATACCGAGCCTCAGAGTGTGTGTGTGTGTACTCCCAGTTAGTACACACACACATGCATACTGTACGTACCGAGCCTCAGAGTGTGTGTGTGTGTACTCCCAGTTAGTACACACACATGCATACTGTACGTACCGAGCCTCAGTGTGTCTTCCAGTGAGCAGCATCAGTCCTCTGAGAGCGATGAACGTGTCTCTGCCCCAGCAACGGAAAATCCCAGAAGAGAAATGAGGGAGACCTAAAGAACATCAGTTATTGCATCAGTAGATTCAGCCAAGGCCTGTCCACCTACTATATCAAACATGATAAATATTTGATGAGTAACTGCCCCGTAAACTAAATCTGGTGAATCAGTGTTGAGGACTCCTACGCTGTGAAGAGAGTGTGTAGATAAGTTCTTTCATTTTTCCCATTTTGCAACTCGCCACTTAGCTAGCTAACGTTAGCTTGCTAATTCCAACATGGTGACAATTCTCTGACATCAGGCAACTGATAACAGACAGTCCCTCAAATGCCATATCGCTATCTTCCAAGCTACAGGCGCTGTCATATATGTTGATGCTGCATCAAGACTGTCATACAGAAGTGGGAGTGATTATATCTCTCACCCCATGCCCACTGTTTTGCATTAGTCCAAAGTGTGCAGTGGTAAGACTTAGCACAGACCCGGGGATGAAGGTACACTTTAATTTCATCTACATCTCACACTGCTGATTAAAAAATATGAAATAATAAATGAATTCTTAAAGTTTAAACTTTCAGTTTACGTAGTCTTAATTTCATCCATAGAGCCACCATTAAGCATCTGTTGCTAGGCTACCTGCAGCCAATGAGACGCAGCACTGCTCCTTCTGGCCTGTGATTGGACTGATGCGATAGGGAACGTCCTCCATTTGTGTGGAAAGGGGAGGGAGGGCGGGTAACTGTCCGACACCACACATCTGAACTGAACCCAGCGCCAGGTAATGAACAAAGCTGGAGCCGTTCTGGATGAAACTGTTTGGAAAAGGAGACAGGAAGTGTGCTGGTTCACAATTTCACTTAATGCAACAAGTCAGTCAGTAAAATTCATAGTTTTAGATTTGAATTTCAGATCTGAAGAAAGCAATTTCCTACCTGGACATGAGTTTGTAAGCTGCGTCCAGGGCTGTAGTGTAGGTTGAGACCAAGATGGCATCAAAGTAACAGGGGATGAGGTAGCGTGGGATGTGCTTCAAGTAGTCAAACATAGCTCCCAACCACTGACCCACCTGCAGACACACAGTGACACAATCAATACTCTTTCAGAGTCCACTTCAGGACTGTGAACACTCATCAGAACTAAGAAGTCAACACCCACTGCCTCGCTACGTTAACTAATTCAGTGCTGATCATTTGGTAGCATTAGTCCAACAACCCTTCACCCATGTTATGCTAGAGAAATGTAATGAAGTACTTGAGTACAAATCAAATTCTTACAGATATGGGACTCAAAGAATATTGACGTCCTCCTTCTTATTCATACTGTCCCACCCTGCTCACATATTAGCCTCTATGACGATGGAGCAGCAGGAACAGGTGTGTGGCTCTGAAGCAGGGGTCACCAACCTTTTTTTAAACTGAGAGCTACTTCAAGGGTACCGAGTAGTACGAAGGGCTACTTATTTGATACAAACTTCCTGAATAACAAAGTTGCACAGATCACCTTTTAATAATAATATATGTGAAGAGACTGTCTGATCACATGTCAGTTAATTATTCCTCACAATAATTATTAAGAATGATTTCCACAACAATGATGGTATAGCTACACATATATATTGAAACATGCACCTTTTATTTCTGTTAATCTGTTTCAACATTTGAAAGTCAGAGGTATCACATCTGTGATATTTTTGTATCATCACATGATCAAAGCCGGTTACTTTTGCACATAGCGCCTGCTGGTAAATGATCCAGTGGTAATGTAGACATTTTGCGAAGTCTGGGTCACCTTTGCATTGCGCAATGAAGCCTGCATCCCGGCCCGTCATCGCGGGAGCCCCGTCTGTTGTCGCCGACACCAGCTTTTCCAATGGTACCTTTGTCTCCACGAAGAAACTAGTAAACAGTCTCGTCTATAGCCGAGTGGGGGATCCAACCCTCCGAGGCACGCGAGCGTCTTTGGGCCCCCGCGTTCAAACCTCTAGTCTGGGCCTTTTCGGGCGGATTGCGTTGCCTCGCCTCTACCCCCGCCACCCCTGAGTTGTTGCCCCGCGGCCTGTTCCGAGGATTTACGGACCTGATGAAGGGGCGCACTCGCGGCGCGCGTCTGGCGCCAACGGGAAGCGCCCGCCATTCGGAACCTGAAAACCTAGTGCGGCGGCCTCGTCCTGGCTGTCCACCGTGCGCCTCCAGGTACCCAACTCCCTTATGACAAGAAATATTGTCATTTTAAAATCTACACTAATGCAAGCGTTTTCGATTAAAAATGAACAGCAACTAAAATTTTAGACGGAGCTCCATGGTGACTAGTGCTATTTTTAGAACATGCCTTGCGGGCGACTCACGTGGTCCCTGTGGGCGACAGGGTGCCGGCGGGCACCGTGTTGGCTACCTCTGGTCTAAAGGCTCAGCTCACACAGCTCTCAGATGATTCTCTGTTACTCCGTCTGCTGTCTGGCCATGCAAGTTTCAATATTATGAGAGATTGATGCTTGGAGCTTGTTCAATGTTCTGGCTGTGATAAAGTGGATAAAGTGGCTTGTGTCGGCATAGAGCAGCAGCACCCTTGATTCTTGGGGTTCTTTGAGCACCAGAATACTCCCTTCACCTTCATTGTACTGGAATCTCAGCAGAAATATCACTTAAAACCAAATCTATCTGAATGATTAGATACCAGTAGAAATGTAATTTGGGTGAAGTGGCTGTGTGAGGCTGTGTAAGCCTGACCTGTGCCAGAGGTCCCTCTCTGCCTATCAGCCGGTTGGACACAAAGTCTATCAGCCAGTCCCCTTGTCTGAGGTTAGCACACACAGGATGGCCAAGGTCATTGTTGGGACGGAGATCAGCCAGCACTGACATCAGACCTGCAGAGACACAACAGCAACTACAGTAACACTCCTGTCATATTGGGCCAGTTATGTGAGGAAATACCAACGTCAAATATCAGTGAAACAAAACAAGCATGCCAAGAGGTTTGGTCCTCCTTCAACTGCCTTGAAGTGAAAGTGCTCTATTTCTAATTGAGAAAACAACAAACAGTGTGTGCAGTTATGTTTCTTTTCTTGTTGCTTTAGAATATGTAAAGAAACTCCCTTTAACAACTTAATGACTTGTTGCAAGTTATCTTCCTTCATCTTTGCTGCATGTTCAGCATAATCACAAAGCAAGAGTGTGTGTGGAGTGTGCGCAGGCACAGGACTATTAATGCTTTGCAAACAAGCAAGAAGTCTTGAGTATAATAAATAGTCTTTAATATCACACTAACGCATTTCAGCTGAATGCTTTTATTCAGCAATGATGTGTCAGTATGGATTCACATTACTCTATGTGTGTGTTTGTACTTCAGGAGTCTGAAGAAGAGCCAAATCACTGCAGCTATGTTGGAGGTAGAGGTGCAACGTGTACACGGTATAGAGAGTACAGAAATGAGTATTGGGCCATGGTACAATATAACGCTGTCATGATGTGTTCAAATGTAATCTTGTCAATTTTAGTTTTTGGTGAGAAACTTCAACAAATAATGTTACAGCAATATGAAATAGATATAATGAGCTGTTTAACGTCCTAACACCGGCTCTAAGCAGCTTATAATAAGTCATTAAAACTACTTATGACAAGATCTGTATTAATCAGAGCAAGTTGTTAAATACAATACAATCATTTATTTCCTATTAAGATAACATTTAGAACAGTTGTCAGTTTGTATTGACTTCGGGATGGTTGAAATGATGCCATGATTTTGCCATAGCAGTGCTCTACCCCTTCAGAAGCATTTATAGTGACATCTTAGGAACAAGGAATATACTGTGATATTAACCTTTACAGTTCAAAAATGATACATTGATTGAGATTTTATATATATATATATATAAAATCTCAATCAATGTATCATTTTTGAACTGTAAAGGTTAGTATCACAGTATATTCCTTGTTCCTAAATATCTTGTTCCTAAGATATTTATATATATATATTTATATATATATTTATATATATATATTTATATTTATATATATATATTTATATTTATATTTTAGGCCATACCACAGCCCTTGTTGGAGGCAGCTAGCTTAATGAAGCCTTTGTTCTCTGACTGATCTTAACACCAACACAAAGCTACAAAGAATGTTGTGATGTTCTGTCTTTAGCACTTGCTCAGTTTTTGAGTATAGTATAGCTTGTTTCAGTACACTGTGAACTAGAAACTATGTATAACTACCTTGTAGTCCAGCATATTTGAGGCTGTCCCATCCTGGGATACTGTAACAGCCTCCACCGTCTTCTTGTTCTTCTGAGTCACAGCGAAACAGCAGGACATTTAGATCTGCTAGCGTCAGCTTGGACATTAGCCTGTGGATCACACACAGCTTTCAAATAAACAGTTCATACGTCATGTTTTACCAAATGAGATAATGTACATAGGTGCTGTTGTTTTCATATCAACATCTATCATCTTGGGGTGGCCCGTGGTATAGTGGTTAAAACGGTTTACCTCACAGCAAGAGCTCGGTGTGGGGTTTGCATGTTCTCCCTGTGTTGGTGTGGGTGTACCCTGCCTGTGCCTTGTGTCCACTGGGATCGGCTTAATAAGCAGGGATCATTTCATTGGTCAACACTACACCAGTCATTCTATTGGTTGGGAATTTTGGGCCAGATTATTGCACAACAAATCGGAGAGACAGAGAAGCAGCCTGATTGTCAGGAGAAGGGCTGAAGCTGGAGTGCAGGAAATCTGTGCAAGCAGCAATATATCTGAGTGCAAGCATACAGCTTCAGTGGAAGCAGACCAAATCCAAGCACACAGTTTGAGCAGAAGGGTCGCAAATCCAGGTCCAAGTAGGGTCTATTGGAGTAAGTGGACAGGCTTCTAAGGGGACCATTACAAAATGCAAACGGGAAATCAACATTCCCTCTAAATGAAAGACAACACTCTTGATTAAAGATAGGAAATAAGTTCGGGACAAAAACTTATGTCTCATTAGGGCATGACCCCATACACTCATGTATGGGGTCATATCAGGCTCAATATTAATGAATGCACATAGAAGAATTCATAAATGCATTTTGTGATTTATATATAAATTACTCAATATTTTTCAATGCAAAAAAAAAAATTGTGGCAAAGGGTGGGAACCTGGGAAAGGGGTGGAAAGGAATCTGTAGGAAACGACTCCACAGCTAGCTTTGGCAAAATGGTCCAAACATCTGCCTTCTGCACCCCAGACAGGTGTTGAAACAGCAAAACGTTGACAGATAAGTCTGTAAGGATCCCTAAAACAAAGCCATACAGCATCTGGATTGAAGTTACATCCACATTAGAGGAAAGACCATGATCGCGATGGACCATGATGGAGAGATAGCTCTTGCTACTACTGACAGTGGCATGTGAGTGGCACCGCAGTGGCAAGCCTTTGAAAGCATTGACACAATTCGCTCAGCTGTCATATTACCAATCTATCAAAGTAATACAGGCTGATCATGTCTCCTCTGACAAAATAGTGAGCTGAACAAAGTGCGTTAACGTTTTACTGTCACTGTATGTACCCAGCGTTAGTGAACGTTAGCGGTTTCTCTGCTAATGAGTCTGGCATACTGGGTATAATAACATTCTGTTTGGCTTTCAGTCAGAGTTGAGGGTAGCAGCACTACACACACACAGCTAACGTTAACATTCGTAAACACTAGCATTAGCCAGCTGTCATATTACTACTATATCAAACTAACACAGGGTGGTCTTGTCTTTTCTGACATAATAGTTCATTGTAACATCAACACTGCAAGCCAAGGCATTGATTCCTTATGACAACTTTAAGTAAATAAGTTAGCTACTTGCCAACTTCACTTAGCTAATGTCTAATAGCATCGTGTATGCCTTCAACATAGATGTAACCTACAATCCAGTTGCTTTATCCTTTTGTTTGTTGATTTTTTGGGGGATCTCTACAGACTTATCTGCCCACATTTGATTGTTCCACCACTTGGGGGGAGTTGCACATGTCAAATGCTTGGACCATCAAAGTTTAGGATGTCTCCTCCTTTCACTTTCCACCCCGTTTCCTACCTGAGAATGACGTGAGAGTATACCCACGTGGGGGCACACATGTGATTGGTTGAAAATGGAGGAGATATCTGATTGGCTACAAATAATTCCCGTTGAACAAAGTGCATTTGTGACTCGAAAGACCTACACACAAATGCAGTGAATGTTCAAAGTTTGTATATAACTTAAACAACATCCAAATATGTTTTTGATGAAAATTTGTGGAGTTCTATTACCTGTTACCACTCCGACTGCCCACCCGCGGCCGTTGGAGTGTTAATTGTACATCTGTGTTATGTAAACAACTGCCATTTATAGGTAGGCACTGATGTCACATCTTTTTGGAAAGCTAAGATTCTTGTAATTCGATTTATGCAAACCATTTCAAGATACAGTCACAACAGCAGGTACACTCAACGCCTCTGTCAGACCAGCAACCCACAAACCAATCCAGTAAAATATTTAGTCCACAACATATTATTACGTCCATAAATACCCACGGACTGATGTTGCATCATTTCATATTAGCCGGCAGATATGCCTAACCATCTATGTATTTTCAAAAGTAACTTCAGTTTGCATGTAAACAGAGACACTCTCTGGATCTCAAAATGGCGGCTGCACTCTTGCCTTTAGATTGACACCTCACTTGACCCAATAGGAGCTTCCATATCCGGTCCACAGCCTAGAATAGCCAACGAGAGTCCGTGTTGAACGAAAGTGCCTGCCCCTCTTCTTTCGTGTAAAGCTCGAGCCAATTGCAACCGCTCGTTCTGATGACTGACGCTTCGTATAGCCAATGAAATTTCGAAAACAAGGATATGCAGCTTCAGGGGTTAGATTTAGAGGCAGAACGTGGAAGTCACCTGCGTAACTGCGAGTCAGGTCGCTGTGTCCGTGAGTTAAAATCAAAGTGTGGTTTTTGAGAGTTTCTGAGAATTTAGGAAAGTGAATAATGGTGAAATAACTTATAGATAACTGTATTTAGACATGAATAAGCTTTAGTTAGAATTATGAATACACATTTCAACACAGCCTAGGCATGTCACCATGGGTCCCCAAATGTCCTTTTTTGGAAAGCGCCTGGAGCCCTAAAGCGCCCTTAGTAAAACGTGTAAAATATTAATTTTCTGTGGTGTTATCAAATTTGAACCTGGACTAGGTAAGGCTTCATGCTGTGGTCCCATTGTGTTTTCCAGCTAATAAGTCCCAGCTATAGTCATCTGCAGGCATTTGTTTGCAAATAAATATTCAGGCGGAAATAAAAACCTTCTACTTCAATGTGTTCAAACTTATATTACTCAATGCCAGTAGCACTTACAGTGATTCTCACTGTTAGGGAAGAAACTTCAGAGTGTTACCTTTCAAAAGAGACCAGAACCATGCATGTACTCCAAATGGTTCAAGAACAGCTTTCAGTTTACTTTGGGTGTGCGTTGGATAGGTGTTTTAGGCTCATTTTACTGGAGTGGTAACAGGTTAACAAGAAATATTTGAGTGTGCATCAGAAATATATTTGCGAATCAATGTTATGTGGATATTGTTTACATTTATATATAATGATAAATATTTTTGTGTGCATTGAGAAAATATTTTGGTGGAGAGTCATTTACATAATACAAAATACATTTGTGAATCCTTCTATGTGGATTCATTAATATTGATATTAATCTGACCCCATGTGTGTGAGCATGTGTACTCACTGTGCCAGCGGTTTCTGCAGTGCTTCTGGTGAGTTTTCATCTGCTACACTGCCTCTCCTGTATTTTGGGCTGAACTGTGACAGATAATACCTCAGCACCCCCACCAACTTTTGGGCCTTGGGGTCCAAACTAACCCTGTGAGGAAGAGAGAGTGAAAACGTATGACTAACAACTGATCCAAATGCAGGATGCTAATAAATTAGCTTTTGATCAACCATGGAAAGAATGATAAATGTGTCTTGCGATGTGTCTTCAATGATGATGTGAATACTGTACTGATGTGATGGTGTGTGTTGTTTACCTAAAGGCAATGATGCTGCCAGGCGTCAACTTCTGAAAGGTGATTTCCTGCACGAACTCTGATGGACCTTTAGATGTCACTTCAGCTTGTTTTACCACTGTACTCTCCTGTAACTATATAAAATATAATTATTTTATTGATATGCTCATTCATTGCAAAAATGACCGTGATACTTAAAGTGATCATAGCGATATTTACCGATATATGCTCCTTTATTTCCACGGTGTATTCTGGCATGCCGTTGATGCAGTTGTCATCCTTCTTGTAACTCTCTGAAGGCCTTTCCACTGTCCTTGCCTCCAGCACCACTTCCTCAATCTTCCCTTGAGAGAGAGACGGAGAGAGATACTCTCAGCATTGGTAGAATTTGTTGTAAACTAACTCTTTGACAAAATCATGAACGAGTTGAGGAACAGATATAGTGTAAGAAAGTGCAAGACACACACACACGCATACTACAAAGATGATGCAACAACAATACCTACAAATACATGTTTGATTTCTGATATAAAAGGTGATGATGTTATCGTCATACCAGGTATGAACATGGGTGGGACGTTGGTGTCGTACTGGTGGGTTTTAGGGTTCTGGAAGGCTGTCCTGCACACTGCCACCACCGACTGGTGAGTGCTGGGACAGTGTCGAGTAACTGCAACAATATCTGCATCAACCTGGTCTACAAACACCTGGAGAGGACAATGATTAGAGATTAAACTTGGACACGTTGTTCACTGATAAGTGATTTCTAATGGCGGAGACACTGAATTCATTGATGTATGTAAAGTCGACAGATGTTATTCATTCCCTAGGGTACTTTGTGGAGAACCTTTTCTGACTTCAGTAAAGGTGTGCATTGGACAGAATATTCAGAGCTCGACTGGGTGACAGACTTCAGCTGTTCTGCTTTACACAAAGATGTACTCGTATGACTCAAAGTAAAGGCCCTATTGATTAACTCCATCCAAAGAGGAAGCTCAGGATGAGACTTGTTTTCCACCCAAATACTTCTTTCTGTCCAAGTACGACTTACAGTTTAGAGGATTAAAGCTTGCAGCTTTTCAAGTATATCAGCTCTTTAGGTAATACAGTTCAACTTTCAACTCTAACAGCTTTAAATCCAGTGTTAGAAGTGCAGTGCCATGCATGTGTGCTTTAAGATTTCAGTATTTTCGACAATGCTTTGTAATTCATTTCAGCTGTCAGCATTCAAACGCATATTGTGCAGAAAATGCCTTTTCTAGTTTAGTGTACTGTTCAGCTGTGAAATTAGAAAGTTCATCACTTGGCTGTCAAGCCAAAACCGAGCACAGCCCACCAGCTGGCTTCTGCTATGTCTTTCTGTTTATTTGCTGGATTTGGGGTTTCTCAACCATAAGAAAGGTAGTGCAAAAACACAGGGCATTCAACACCAAAGAGCTCAACAGATATCAAAACTTCTTTCCTCTTTTTTAAACACCTAAATCAGATTGCAAATTGAGCTGTTGTTTCATTATATTAACACACACATGGGAACTACATTATTAGTCCAGTAATGTAACTTGAACTTTTGCAAAAAAAAAATTTTTAAAAATTGCAAAAGCTATTTTACTTGTATTGCACCCTTAAAGGTATCTATCCCTTTGTGACATACACAACGTGTAAATGAATAAACCGAAGGGAAAATCTTGAAATCTGGGAAATTCTAAATGGCCCCCATCCACCCTTGTGACAATAAATATTTCATATTTCTGTTCTGTTGCATTTGAAAAAAATACTTTTAATTGATGGTTAGAATAAGATCAAATCTGGGCAGAACAAAACTCGATGTGGGTAGATTAAGACCAGATGTGGGTAGATTAAGACCAGATGTGGGTAGAATAAGACCTATTTGCATCAAGTAAAAAAATATGTCATGATCAAATCTAACAAGCACAACAATGTTGTAATGCGTAATGCTTGTGCGGTCACTGAAACATTCCTTCAAAGACGTTTTTGGTAGAATCACATTCAGACGATTTTCAAAACTTTACCTTCATACAATTCTGAAGGACTTCTTTCTCTCTTTCAGGACATATTGAGGATACAAAATCCATTGAGTTTGTTTTTGTTGCCATTTGTGCGAGGTCGACCCACATATTTAGGTAAAATGTCTGGACTACATGGTACCTGCATGAATCCCTGAGAAGCCAGTTCCTGGTGCAGCTTGTTGAGTGCCAGTTTCCCAGCTATGATGCCAGTCTGGAATCCAACCTCACCAGTGGAGGTGGGGGGCGCTGAGGGGCTCCACTTGGGGTAGAAACGCTCCTCCTTCACCACAGAGATCTACACACACACACACACACACACACACACACACACACACACACACACACTTGTCTGATACTCTACTACTGATTCATTATTTGTTCCAGTTTTAGCAAGTTGAGCAGGTGAGTGTATTGTATGTATAAGATACCCCCTATACATAACTTTTTTAGAAAATAATTGCTTTCAAATGTTCAGTGAGTGAAAGGAAACTCACAGAATGAGGGTGAAATGATGGTTTGCTGTGTTATACGGCTGCTGTTTGTGAGAACGTGTCCTGCAAGAGGATATAATTGCCCACTTGAAGAAAAACAAAATGTTATGAGTTTGAAATGTATGGAGGAAACTGTTGGTGCTGTGTTTTTATGCCATGAAAGATGTTCCATCATGTACCTTCCAATATGAAGATCAAATCAAGGGAAATCAGAAGGGATTGATGTGCTGTGTCAAAGGGTTAACTAGAGAGCCATCTTCAGATGCCTTCATCAAACAGATGGTTTCTGTAATCATCCGTCCCTCACAACAACTGTAGCTGAAGTGAAGCGCTTGTCAACAGTGTTTTGATATCAGTGGTCTCTGTTATGCGTCGGGCTGTACTATCAAAACTATCTGATTGGCTGGAGAGTTGGATAGCGTGCGAACATCTGATTGGATCTAAGCTCATCACTCTCCCAGGTTGTCACAAGAAAGAATAGTAGGAGAGAAGTCCTAGCTTGCATATTTTCAGTTAGACTGGTCAACAGAACCCCTGTGCCCCCAAACACACATCTGTAACGATCTACACGATTGACATGGGTCCTGCTTTCAAGTAGGAAGATACCGTAAATTAGGATTAGAATGGAAAAATCACATCCTGGATCGATAGGACACGTGAGCCCTCTAGCTCTACATCTTACATTAACCATATTGTTTTAATAATTGCAATAACTAAGCCAATATTGGGGAATTTGTTTCATAAACACCCAAAACAAGCCATAAATATGGTTAAAAGCTATGAAATACTGTTGAGCCAAAATGATGTTAATCACTTGTAAGTCGTGTGTGTGTGTGTGTGTGTGTGTGTGTGTGTGTGTGTGTGTTTGTAAATGACCTGATGTGGCACTAATTCATCATATCCTCTGGTGGAACCAGTAGCACAGCAGGCCATGGACACCATAGCAGAGCTGGGGAGGGAGTCCAGAGCTGAACGCAGCTGTATCACAAAGAGAGGCGCACACAGCCATTACTGTACACACTTGACATCTGGACAGATGTGCTGGAACATCAGGGCTGCACGCTTATGGCCAAGATGATACTCATGATTGTTGAAATCAATATTTAGAGCACAATTATGTATCCCGATCATTCATTGATGTTAGGGACAAACTATTTTCCTTTCGCTTCCACATTTTTTACAGAACAGCGCACTGCTTTCACTCTCACGTCATGATCTCTGATTACATCAGGGGTTCTTCCCCTGAAGTGCATTTGCATTATTCTAGTAATATACAGTATATAAGGGTTATATTTTAGCCATTAAGTCATTACATCAGTTAAGAATAGAGAAAGTAAAAACAGAAGAACTAGAATTACACATATTTCAGGAATCATGGGAACTTAATCAAGTAAGGGAACAACAATTAAGGGAAACATTCAAAATGTTCACATAAAAAAGAGAATGCAAATGAAAGCAAATGGTTATGAACATCTTCAATCAAGCCCATCCTGACGTGACCCTGACAGAGACTCACCTGTATGGGACACTCGTTGTCATGGGTTACATCAAGTAACATGGCGTGTGCGATGGCGGGCATCAGTGGCCGGAGACTGGGCTGAACAAACGCTCCGACTGGCTCGCCCCCATAACGGTGGACCAGCCGGCCCTCTTCATGGCTGTCACCAGCTGACATGGCCTCTAAAAAAGAAAGATAATGGTTCTTTCTCATTTCCCAATTTTCTGTGCCTCCTTGATTCCTTTCCTCGCCTCGCGTCGTAGTCCCGCCCACGCGAGATGCGAGCGGAGGAGGCAAAAAGAGACCAGAGGAGAGAGGAGTCAAGGCAGCAGGCATTTAACAAATGAGACATCCTTGAATTAAATAGGAGGTATAGCAGCTGTTCATTGTTTAGTTATACTATATACAGTTGTGTGAAAAAGTGTTTGCCCCCTTCCTGATTTCTTATTTTTTTTTGCATGTTTGTCACACTTAAATGTTTCAGATCATCAAACAA